CTCACCATCCAGGGTGAGTACAGGATGAGAATCCTGCCAGTCTTGTAGGAGTACTTTGCACTTGGAGGGTGCAAAGCACATGCCGTACCTGCGGACACTGATTGCCAACTGATTAAGTGCGGATTGCATGCCTTGGGCATTATCGCACAGTAAGACAATATCATCCACATACTCGAGGTGGAGAAGTCGTTCTCCAGGCAACATATCCACACCGCCATTACTTACATCCATCAGAGCTGTTTCCATTGGCAGCAAGAAGTCTGTTGTGAGTGAAACAATCTACGAGAATGTATTTTGGCAGAAGATCGATGAGCAAAGAACTGAAATGAAGCGCAATCGTTTGGAAAATGCATAAGCAATGGAATTGGAGAAAAAACAGTGAAGATTGAAACAATTGATTGTTAATTTGCAAATTAATTGTTCATTGTTTGGTTATCAGAATTTACTGAGATAGTTTGTAATTTTTGCTTAAATACATTCGATTGTCCCCAACTAGTGTTCTGTTCACTACAATATGACCATTATCAGAAGGGGGATTTTTGTGGCACTTTTCATGAATCAAATTCAGAGTAATGAGTCTACAATTTAAACTAATCATGGAAAAAAACCCTTCATCAAAACAGTAGTTGTCTAGTGATTAGTAACTTATGTGGAGGTGATTTTCTGAAGTTATAGTTGTAAATAGTAACCGATGGAGTTCAGACATGTAGGGAGTGAAATATTCGTTTCTAGTGGGATTGGATGATTGTTGCATTATAACATGAAATGATTGATTTTGGAAATGTGTACTATAGGAAGACAACTAAACAGTCTTATAATTCACCTGTTACCACGAAACCGAAAGGTCCTGGATTCGAGCTATGGTGAAATTATCGGTGCACACTACCAATAAGTTCCAAACTAGGATGAAATAGCTATTTGATGCACCTTGCGTTTTAACGGTATCCTAAAACAGAACATTGTTTTCTAAATATTGACGATAGATTGAACTCGCCAAAAAACTTAATTAAACTTAAAATTAACTTAGTATTGTTTGTTTGAAACTTCCCATTGATGTTTTAGGACTGCAACTGGTCAGTCTCTAATTGGCATATGTGCAAACTGTGCGTATTGCTTCGATATAGCCTGAATTCACAAGCATTATAAGCAAAGATTGATAGTGACTAGCAGTGGAATCCAGGACGTGCATTTCATCCTATTTGGGATTCATCAGCTGGGTGTACATGCACAAGCAAGTGCCTATCATTACTCAGTATATAAGAGGATAATGCGATGGCGTTTGAAGCGAAAGGTACTGGGTTCGAGTCCCAGAGTGAGCATCAACTCTGAGATGCAGGTACATCCAGTTGACGAGTTCTAAATAGGACGAAACGCGCGTCCTGGATTCCACTGCTAGCCACTATCCATCTTTGCTTAATTAAACTTAATTATTGTAGAGACTGGTTAATAAACTTTTATTAAATTAACAAACCATTTTTTCATACTATTCTAATGTACTATGTAGTTTGTTTATCAGCAGAAGACTGAGAGTTTGTCTTTGCTTAAATCTTGAGTTTTGTATAAAAATAGATAAATACATGAATAATTTAACACACACACATCTGGCAGACGAATGAAAAAAAAAACTCGATATAATTAACAATAGTCAGTGTGTAGTTCTCATAGACATATAGTCACAATAAAAAAAACTTGGCAGTCGAATAGTCATTGGAGTAATATGAGTAACTTGAAAACTATTCACTCAAGGGATAAGGTAGACCTCATAAACAATTAGACATCGATTCAACCACATCTCTTATCATTAGCCGGTTAACAATTAAAAAAGTAATGAAAAACAAGGATCATTGACTAAACGTTGAGAATATAATTCGAAAAAAATAGTATGAAAAAGTAGGTTCAGTGGAATTTTGTAGCTTAAGTCCTAGCGTAATATTGAAAGTGAATCCATCTCCATCGTTTTGATTGATTTTAAACGAAATCACTTAACCTATCCAAATACTGACTGGGGTTACTTCGATCACTCCAACTAGGTAGCCTAAGTTTATCAACAGAGCTCCGATCAACAACTTCATGAACTGATGCTGTTTTTTGGGTTGGTCACCATTAGTTTTATTCTGACTTATTCTTACTTACACAAGCGCTAACATAACTTGTCAAGAAAGGCGGTGGTTATGCAGACGCAACACAGCTTAATAATAAAGGGTATACGGATAAGGATCAATAAAGATCATATGATACAACAACAGACAAAACATAAAGTTTGCGTGAAAGAATTTAAGTTGTATGGTCCATGTTATTAACAGTCTACATTTTACATAAGTCCTTATATAAACATACACTAACACCGCCTGTAATTCAATTAAAGCAAAACAAGCTTATAATGAAATAATTGAATTTTATAATGTATTAACAACTTAAATATTATTTATCATTAATAATTTACAGGTATCAATTAGTTCAGTTATATAATCAACTTCCTACGAATGTATATACATTATTGCAAACAATTTTGCTGATTATTTTCATATGCTAAAGTTTGTAACAATATTTATAATGTTGTAAGCAAAGATGGATAGTGGCTAGCATTGGAATCCAGAAAGGAAGTTTCGTCCTATTTGGGACTCGTCAGCTAGACGCACCTGCATTCCAGAGTTGATGTTCACTCTAGGACTCGAAACAGGTACTGAATTTCACTGCTGGGCACCTTCTATCTCTGCTTATAATATTTATATGACTGAGGGCAATATCGAGAACAGCCCGCATAGGATGTATATATGCCAATAAGAGACTGACTGATCTCAATCCTAAACATCAATGGGAAAACCTAAACAAGCAATACGAAAAAACAATTATAATATTTACAATGCTTTATTCGAAATTAAGTGCCTATCGTGATGATCCAATAGAGCTATATTAGTTGAAATACTTGTTTCTTTAGATCTTACCATGACAAGTAGGTCGGTTGAAGAACAGTTAGAATAAAAGTAGCAACTTGAGGTTCAAGGGCAAGGTCATACTGCTAACTGTACAGAGGTATAACAGCAGTAAGGCGTTTCCTACAGATAACCAGCATCTTCAGTAATGATACCTTGCGACAAAGGGAGGAAGGGATAGAAAACGTTGAATGGCACACCTCACCATACTTCAGAGATTTCTATCACCGTCTGTAAAGTCTTTAAGGTATGAGATGACACATGAAGATTTTCTCCCAAAAGGACGGTTTGGTTGCCTTCATGCAGTTTTCACTTAGACTGTACAGACAAGCCTCTTAGGTCTCTTAGACTGCTAATAATCCAGTTTACTTTTCAGGTACCTCAAGAAGTGTCTTTCTACGATGTGGGCAACTGTGACATGAAAATTAGTTAAATAATTCTTAACTTATTTGAGATTGGAAACAAATAAAGTAGAAGAACGACAAACAAAACAGTAAATTTAGATTGCAGAATTGTTTATATTTCCTACTCATATAACATATGTACACCACATAGAAGGTACTAAATACTAGGCAAAATTGGTAAATAAGATCTTAAGACCTCGAACTACCTATCTTGATGTATTATGGTATTTAAGATAGCCTGTTGTTCCATCAAGCCACTGAATGATGACCAGGGCCACACCATTTACCAAGAGTAAGTTTATGTACTGAGCTTTGAGTGACAGTGCTTATATGGATGATCAATGAAACTAATAGGAAAGATGGTTTATACCTACAAGCTGGTGGTATTACATCGAAAGCCTTAACCACTAAACTACCACCTAAGACTACGGACTATGATCAGAGGTATAGAGTTTCTGGTTACGGTGAAAGTGGTTCGCATTAAGATAGATTTCATCATGAAATGACACCTACTAAGAATTTACACATAATGTATTTAAACAACTTGAACGGTAATATCTCCTTTGACTACAGTATAAAATATTTTTTATAATGTCTAGATGCTTTAAACAGCTCGCTAATCAACAGCATTCAGTTAGCAAAAAACCACTATTAACAAGTAGCTTATTTGAATATTTTCACACAATGAGATTTATGATCTGAAAAAAAACAGCCGGAATTCATAGAGGAATTAGTTAACAATTAAAAATTCACATCTCTGATAAAGTAAGTTTACATAATTACGAAGCGGTGACTAGATAAATAATACAATATACATATCGATTGTGGAAAGAAAATGGAAACAATTCGGCAACTCATTTAGTATTGTTTGTTTGGATCTTCCCATCGATGTGTTAGGACTGCAAATGGTCAGTCTCTAATTGGCATATGTGCATACTGTGCGCATTGCCTCGATATAGCCTAAATTCACAAACATTGTAAGCAAAGATTGATAGTGGCTAGCAGTGGAATCCAGGACGCGCGCTACTTCGTCCTATTTGGGACTCGTCGGTTGGATGTACCTGCATCTCCCAGTTGATGTTCACTCTGGGACTTGAACCCAGTACCTTTCGCTTCAAACGCCATCGCGTTATCCGCTCGGTCGCTGAGTCCTGATAGCCACTTGCTTGTGCAGGTACATCCGGCTGACGAGTTCCAAATAGGACGAAGTAGCGCGCGTCCTGGATTCCACTGCTAGCCACTATCCATCTTTGCTTAAATTCGGTAACTGATGTAATATAAATCGATTTAAGCCATTAAACGTCTAATCAGTAAAGTGAAGAAATATCAACAACGGCAGAATGCAAAACTGTAGAAATATGAGTACTAACAATGACGAAATAATAGAATGAACAAGTGGCAGCAACAACAAATCAACACAATGAACTGAATGCGGCATGATGTATTTCAAAGACTTCAAACGTTTATTAACTACAACCTAATCAATATATATTTAGCGTATGCTACCTATGGGCTATGATATATATATATATATATATATATATATATATATATATATATATACCTAAAAGCTAATTTATCAAGCTTAGTTTGAATTCTTTTATCTATTGTGGGTAAGTAAAAAAAACCTAAGGAAATAAATGTGACATCATAATCTTCTTACCTTATTTACCATTCCGGATATAGATTGCTTTTTAACTTCTAATTGTTTCTCCTTTTTCCTCCTTTCCCTTTCATCTAAACCTTGACGAAGCTTCAAAGGGACACATTGGCTAAGACTACCAGATAATGATGCAGGTCTTTCTAAACGAGGTTTTGAAGAACCAAAATCTATAACAAATGCTTCAGCAGGAGGTCGAGTAGAATTTTCCTCAGATGTTAAATTCATATCCGCTTTCATACCTGTAGACAAACAAAAAATTAAAGCCTAATGTAAACTTTATGCTAAAACTAATAGGTAAATAAAAGTTTACAAAGTATTGTCATCTGTTTCTGTGTGGATAAAATATTAGTTTATTAACAATACAAGTATCTGAAACAAAAAGGTGATATAGTGGGCCAATCAGAAATGGGCAGCTGATAAGTGCATATGATTGGCTAAGAAATGGCTTTCATTTTCAAGAGGTGAAACAGGCCACTAATAGTTTTAGTTTCCTAAGGGATATCCTTTCTCACTTTATAACTTTTATCTCAAATGCACGTGTTCGTGTGTAGAAAGAGTGTATCAAAATGGACTCTTGGACAGTACGTGTCACGACAAGATGATAAAGAATTTAGCACATAACATTAAGCGAATAGTCATATAATCTAAAGGATTAAAAGAAGAGAATTTAAGTTAGCCTGTGTATACTTAACTTTATATTTATTGCCTTGAATATAAATAAGTTTGTCGGATAGTTCTTTTTGATGGTAAATTAGATTAGCGTTCAAAACAAACCTCTGATGGATAAAAAAAGGCTCAATGCTCTATTTGGATTGGTAATCAATGTTTGATAACAAAAGTATTTATAAAGAGCTCTAGTTGTGCCGATTCAATATGACAACTCGGTCGAAGCACATTAATAACTAACACCACATTGTTTATAATTGTCTGACTTCTTGATAAGGATTATCTGAATAATTCTTCAATATCTTTTTTTAAATTGTTACATTTAATGACAATCTCACTAACGCATAACCTTTTTAGAAACATCCGTCATAAATTCAAATATCGAACGATTGATGATGAACCTCCAAAACTCTGATTCCTTATGTTCACACCATTCACTATTATTGAGATTACGAGAAATATATACACATGATTCATACGTAGACATTTCTGTATATACACAGTGTCAACCTTATTGAATGAGTCCCGGAACTTTTTAAAAAAACTGCTGGGGAGTCCCATACTAGAACGAAACGGTTATCCAATCCATTCAAGTTTTCAATAGTGGTCTAGCTTACATTGACTCATGGATTCAACTGTTAAAATATTGATTGAAAGTCAATGTTGAATCAAAGATAATACTATATTTTATTATAGTTGAGTTGCTAAAAAGAATGTCCAATTCATTAATATACTGTTTATTTTGCATTAGTGAATTCCTAATAAAACAGAAAGTTTACAATATTAGTTCAATTGAAAATGACTAGTCAAGAATTATTTATTTAAACACATAAATATTGGTACAAGGAAGCATCAGATACATATGAGCCACACAAATCTCATTTGATTTGTGTGAGGGCTGTGATACTGGCCGGGTGACCAAACCGAAGCAGGTGGTTTGCTTAGGGGCCCACACCCGGAGCCTTCGACTTAAAGGTCTGATCCACAAGGCAGTGGAACATCGTGAGGAGATGCAGTCCCATGGTAGCCGGTGACCAACAATTGGCTCATACGCCATTCGTTCCTTCAGGATACTGGAGCCCATGTGCACCATGGGTTTGGAAACAGGGTTTTCCAACTCCCCTAGGTGGACTTTCCGCGTCCACCGGCCCGGTTAAAGCACCGGACATTCGCCTTTCGTCTTCTCAATTCCGTAAACAACACCGGTGCCACGAGAAGGCAGTGAGTAGGACTTCCCTGGCAGAGGCTACATATTCGCGTGTTCATGTGAGAGTATTTCAAGAGAGAGAGCAGACTCTCCCCACTCTCGGCCGTACCATGGCATTTGGGGGCTTAAACTGAGTCACAAAACGTCAGAAAATCTAATTTTTATACTCATTGGGATATTACAAATATATTAAGTTATTTATAACAATCTATCCAATGTTCAATTTATTTAAAAATTTGAAACTAATGTGCCTTTTTTCGCATTTTGTTTCGTGAGTCCAATAGAGCAAAATAAAAATTAGTATCAACCAGGAAATACTCAATTAAAAATATCCAGAGAAATGATTTCATAAATTTCAAGGGATTATAAAAAAAGATTTTGTTTGGCAAATCATAAGAAGTGATTTTGTGAGAAAAATGTTACATTTCTTTGGAATTTAGTTAGTATCAAAAGAAAATACATTCCAGTTATGTAGTTACTATGATCTTTTAAAAAAGGTGGGTGAATAGTTCTCAAGGTCATGTCTGATATGATTGTCCATACATGTCAAAGTGTTATATTTATTTATTTTATGGTTGAATTCATTAGTCAATTGAAGCTAGACCACCATGGAAAACCTGGAAGCATTGGACGGTCGTTTCGTCCTATTATGGGACTCCTCAGCAATGCACATCCACGATCTCACCCCCCGCACGATTCGAACTCAGAACATATCAGTCTCGCTGTTAGAGAGTAGTGACAAGTATATAGTTAAATATTGGCTTGTCTTCTCAAATTGTGAGGGCTTGGTACCAAGAGTCGTTCGCTTGGGTTACTCCGCAATTGTCCCGTATATGATAGTAAATTTACAAAAACTATAATTGTAAATTATTTGTGTTTATAAGTTTGAGTGAAATCAACTTTTGTATTATTTATTTCCCAACTGCGGAAATATTCCAATGGATTTTCATATTTTAAATTTTTAACTAACTAATCATCTCTTTGTTTATTAACCATGTCATTCATTTATAAGTTTTGATAAAGGGATTAAAACTCAAACAATGCAAAAACAGTAAAACATAAGGGAGAAATCGTATTGATTGTTTCTTTTCTCTTTTAAACCGTCTTTTAGCGGAACAAAATGCGACAAAACATAGAAATTTATGCACGGAAAACTCTATACAAGTACGCTATAAACACTGACAAAAATATTACTTAAATAGAGAATGTTTTGAAGATAGAAGTGGCGGAAAACTTTTTCACAATTGATTATAAACTCAGTAAAGACTTAATTGTTTACCACTAGAATGGAATGTATCACAATACTTTGTATTTTATGTGGAAAATGTCTTAGTGATTAAATGTATAAAATACTTTTAATAAGGCAATTAAAATGTATTTAATTTGACTAATATATAAATGAGAAGGGATTTTGATGAGATTTAGGTATTATAATCATATGCTCACTATTGACTGACTTCAAGATATATGTCCTGGAGTTCTAGTGGGAAGCAGTGACCAGTGGAGTTTATCCAGGTCTGCTGGGAGATATCAACTCACTGATGACATGAATGGTTGCTCAATTTCGTTGATTAGTTGAAGTTAGACATTAACACCGTTGAATGCCGGCTCAGTGGTCTATCGGCTAAGGGCTCTGGCTCGAGACTGGTATTTTCTGAGTTCGAATCTCGCGAGTGCGGGTTCGTGGATGCGCACTGCTGAGGAGTCCCATAATAGGATGAAACGGCCATCCAGTGCTTCCAAGTTTTCGATGGTGGTCTAGCTACAATTGACTCATGATTTCAACTTTGTAATATATAAATGTCTATAGATTTTCATATTATCAAAATCTATTAGATGAGTATAGACCTAATATCTTCCTTTTACTATTGTATTGATAACCGAAATTAAAACTCATTAAATCATTTCAGTCCTTTAATATGCTGATATTAGCAGATCTATTGTAAGCTGTAATTAGGCTCAGATCGGAACTCATCAATACTAGAGAACGAATTAAGTATATGCTAGAAGATTCTTGAGTAAATTACATTCAAACTCGAGTGTTCAATAATAATTGTTTTTCAAGACCATTGGAACACATGCTGCTCTATCTCACGTTCTCAGTTCTTCTTTTGATTTGATAAGAGCTGAGTGAGGCATCGTGTTTTGGGAATACTAGACACCAGAAGTACATAACAGTAGATCATTTCAAATTTTAATAGCATCAAGTGTTCTGAAAAAAAATTTCTCAGTCGGTATACTATGCACGAAAACTGAAGTACTTATCATTAAACAATCAATATTTGAGCCTAAGAAAATTATTGATTTCAAACGCTAAGTGAATAGACAGTAAATCTATCGTGTTTTTCACACCGGACAGTGATTTAACCTTGTTGTTTTCAAACTTCTACATTCAATAACTTCCTTTCAATAAATTAATTCTTGTTGTTACTAAGGTAGTCATTTATTTAACCTTACAAAGCTTTACAACGTTTGTTAAAAATTCAAGCTTATGAAATAGTAGTGGTAGCTTTTAAGTGCATTAAGAATCAGTTTTCTTTGTCAAGACTCTGATATCTCTGGTTATGATTGTAAATATCACTTTTGAAACATCTAAAGCCGTAATCCTTTAATTAGTTTTGTATACTCAATGTCATGTCAACGATTCACTTTTTAAAGAGAGTAAAAAACAAAGATTGATGCAGAATAATATGAATTCATTTTATTTCGTTAGGTTCTCATCGAACTGCTGATTAAAAACTAAAGATTTAACAAGCATTAGATGATTATGTAATGAAGCAACTGAAAACAGATTAATGGTAATAAAGAAAAATATGAATTGAAATCAGTCAATTATGAATTGAAGCAAAATGATAATGATGTAATGAAAACTTCAGAAAGAGTTGAAATAATGAATGATTTACTTTTTCGTTGTAAAGCAGTTAACCGAACCATTTTTGAGACTTTATAGATTTATGAATCTCAACACATATAAACTTAAGAGAATAGAGAAATGTGATCTCTTATTGCTTATCTCTAGTTAAGATAACCTCTGAATATAAAGCGGATGAGAATAAGTCTTAATGAGATTCCCTAGACCAACTCAAAAGTAATGAACATATAAATGAATATGTTATAAGTCCTAGTCAGTCAGTCAGTCAGTTACAACGTAGAACTTCCTACGTACGTACATCAGTTCCAGTTGCCATACCACATTAGCACAGAAATGCAGTTGTCGATTCAAAACCCATAGTGGTAGAAGTAGTAAGAGTATAAGCAGTAATCCGAAAGATTAGGTTTTGAAAATGTTATTCAACGAGTATAATACAGTGAAATAAATTTGAAAAGAAAAAAAGGATAGGGACATGAAGAATTCAGAAGATTAGAATTTGGTAGAACACAAAGAGTGGATGCACCTTCGCCATTGCAAACGATTTTGAGCCATGTCATTCAAGGTTTCTAACCATCGATTGCTATCATCTCGTGAATCCCAACGAGGAATTATAATTATTAACTTTATTGTGTATAACAAGCTGAACTCAAAGAGAACAATATTCAGAAAGTACATTCTGAACCTAAACTGTACAGAAGAATATTTTTAAGGATCTCATTTTCATCATCAGATTCAGAAATGAAGGAAACATTACTTGGCTAATGAACTTATATCAACATCTCAATGAATACGAATCGGTCAGTGTGCCTACTTGAATTTTGATCATATTTTAGCTAGAGCACATATATATTCGATAAATCCTAATGTATCTCTAAAATTTCGTTCAAACTGGATAAAGTGAGAAATAAAAAAGCCTATGAAGAGTAATGGAATTAAACTACAATAACTTTAAGCAGTAATAGGTGGCACGGATGGGAGAATCGAAAATAATGAGTCATTAGTAAATAATAACCTATTCAAAATTGATGGAAATAACAAAAATGAAACCTTGGATTATTGAATCCGAGCAATCTAAACATTTTGTGTAAGATTTTGAACTGAGGTTTTTTGTTCCTATTAGAAGTCCCAAACTAAAAAGAAAACTTTTCCACACCTAAATAACAGTTGATTTTAATTACCTCTATAGATTGAATTATTGACCTGTTTCAACCTCCATCAATGTAGCTTAGCGGTTAACATCTAGTATTCCTGTTCTGATAACCTAAGGGTCTTCACGCCAACCACTATAGCAAAGTTATGAGAAAAGTTAAAGACTGAACTCATTGTTGGGCAAAGTTTTTGCGTGGCCTAGATGGATTGTTAAGGATATAAACAGGCAATGATGAATGAAGATATGAATAAGAGCCTTCCATATAGATGAAGTTTGAATTATTAATACATTTTAGTAAACTCCAAGAAATCTCCTAGAAAAAAAAACCGAAAATTCTATTTAATTAGATCTTGTTTATATAAACCCATTTATAGAATAGAAATAATTATCTAATAATCAAGACGGTGAGTGTTTTTCTAAACTTTTACACGGGTATTGTAAGCAAAGATGGATAGTGGCTAGCAGTGGATTCCACGACGCGCGTTTCGTCCTATTTGGGACTCGTCAGCTGAATGTACCTGCATCTCAGAGTTGATGTTCACTCTGGGACTCGAACCCAGTACCGTTCGCGATATCAAGGCAATATGCACAGTATGCTCACATGCCAATTTGAGACTGACCAGTTGCAGTCTTAACACATCAATAGGAAGATTCAAACAAACAATACTAAATGAGTTTACACGGGTAGTTGATCATATCGACAGCATATATAATCTTTCTTAATAACATATTTTCTACAGATCAAAAAACAATGATAACAATCATGTGTATTTGCGTAATATTTATTTATAGTCGCCGGTCTTAAACAAATCAGATAGTGTATCACGTGGATAGACTTTAATTCACGTCCAATACGAGTTAAAATAACTACAAAAAGTTGTAAAAAAAACTTAAGACATATCATATACGTATTATTATCAACTTTAGCAACATAGTAACATTGGCATAAATTCTAATGAAAAAGTGTAAATCGTGAGTAAATGAAACAATATTGATCTGATCTCTTTATCTTTTAAAAGACTCTGAATAAACAATAATAGTAAAATGTATAAACTACGTTAAAAAGAACTCAGTAATAAGATTATTGTTTAATGATAACAGCATAAAGTTGAAAACATGAGTCAATTGAAGCTAGACCGCCATCGAAAACCTGGAAGCACTGGATGGACGTTTCGTCCTATTATGGGACTCCTCAGCAGTGCACATCCACGACCCCGCACTCGCGAGATTCGAACCCAGAACATACCAGTCTCGAGCCAGAGCCCTTAGCCGATAGATCACTGAGCCGGCATTCAACGGTGTTAATGTCTAACTTCAACCGATCCACGAATTATGAGCGACCATTCACCAATTGTTTTCAGTGAGTTGGAAAATACTTTCAAAAATATTGAAATCTCCACAAATCCCCTTCTGATTATAACAGCACATGTTGATTTAATTGAATCATAATTGACAAATCCATACAAAAACTATCTAAATAACTCTATCTCTGTTATGTAGTTAGCTTCGAGACATATTATAAGTCTAAGGGCTATTGATATTACTTGGTTATCCAAACAGAAGTGCAGCGGGGTAGATGAAATTCGAACACTTCATCTAATCCCACACTATTTGAATATTAACAGAAGTGTAAATGAAATATATTGTGAATTAAACAGGTGTTTTTAACACATTTGCATTTTTTGAGAGCAGAAATAACTGTGGATAAACATTTCTGGGCCCATAAAGGTGGAAAAACTAACAAACTTACTGTATTTGCGTGAAGCAACTACAGGATGTACAGTTTCTTGATTTCCAAAAGACGAAGTGTGTGGATAGGAATAGTCGCTGTCACCATCACCCCACCAACTTGGTTGGCCATAAAGTTCTGTAAAATACAAAATTATTTCACATAAGGAAAAAAATTTGGCTTCCAATGATCCTTGAAATATTTTTGACATCCATTAAAATGAGACTTTAATAATCAAAATTACGATTTCGACTTCGTTAGTTTGTTTACTGTTGAGAAACCGGAGTAGATAAGATGAGGTTGAATAATTTTATCATTCCTTATAAAAACAACTTATCTAAACGCTGAGTGCATCAAACATTTACTTAATACATTATGATTAAAATTTAATTAGAAATAATTTCTAATCTAGATCGGTTCATGATTTCAAAGAAATTCAAAAATCTTCATAACCTCATATGCTAACTAGTGACTAGCTTCAAGACGAAAACTCACGGACTTCTAGTGAGAAGCCATGATCAGTAGAGTTCAACCATTTTGTGTGTGAGGCAATTATCGACTGAAGACAATCGAAGATGGCTGAAAAATATTGTGGATTGATTGAAGTTAGACATTAACATAGACGGATGCCGACTTAGTGGTCTGGAAGTTAAGTGATTCGGAGCGAGACAGAATATCCTGTGTCCGATTCCCTGTAGTGAGATCATGGGTGCCCATCTCTGGGGAGTCCTATACTAGGACGAAACGGCCTTCCAGTGCTCCCAGGTTTTCAATGGTTGTTTAGATTATATCGGTTCATGATTTCAATGAAATTTAACAATTTCCGCAACCCCATACTAAAAATACCTTCTAATCTTTTGAATATATGCATAAACTGTTAGTATTTACCGCTCGAAGCGAAATCAAGTAGCAGAATTAAAAGATATCTAAGCTATTTTTTAGGACAACTGAATATTACCGCCAATCCTTACGCAGTAACTTCAGATATCCAATTAAAAAGATCAGAACTTGACTGATCAACTATAGTACTTTTTACCTGGTATTAATTACCTGGTTGTTGCCATGTCCTATAAATTAATCTTTCATAAATTTTCCACTTCAAGGATTTAGATTAATAGGTTTCACCCTAATAAATAACTAAAGAATGATTATCCTGAAAACAAGAAGCCTTCGGTGGAAAGTTATTAGGAGGATTCTGTACCGAAAGAAAAGATTTGCAGCTTAAGCTGGTGCTTTAGGTATTGCTAAGTTCTCCGAGCTGAATATTTCAATTGTGGAGCTTTCATTGTCATCCTCGAAAACATCGTCACTGCTTACTGCATGAGTTTAAGCTATGGTGTTTCCCAGAATGACAACGAAAGTTCCACAATTAAACTATTTAGCCCAGATTACTCGAAAACATCAAGAGAACTCTGTATTGTTATCAGGATGGGGGTTTGTGGAAATTGCAGTAATTTTAATAGTTGAATTCATGAGTCTATCTAAGCTAGACCATTATGGAAAACCTGGAAGCAGTGGACGGCCGCGTGCGGGATCGAAGTTGAGCACTTCTGAGAAGTCCCATACTAGAACGAAACGATAGTCCAGTGCATTCAGGCTTCAATGGTGGTCTAGCTTGTACCAACTCATGAATTCAACTATTAAAATTCTGTATTGCTTGGTCAGATGACTAAATTAGATATGTGGCAAAAATGGGGATTTTCACTATATTAAATTAAATATGATTAGCAATTTGGAGAATAGTAAACAGTTTATGACTTTTAGATAAAAATTACATCTCTCGTGAACTTAAAAATGTGAAGAGTAATTTTAAAGATAGGACCGTACGTTATTTCATTCTTTTTTAGTGTGTATTTGCAATTCACTAGATTATCTTTTTACGTAAAAACATGTCCAAAACAAGTATTCTCGAAAGAGTGGTAGCACTTTCTCTTTTAACACTAAGCTTATTAATAAAATAAACAGGAAAAATTTAACTAACCATACATAATTCGAAAAGTAGTACACTGTACACTTTTTAATCATTTTATCATAAAAATTTATTTCTTACACAAATAAATCAATGATCCTAGGAATGCTAATGTGGTGTGGTACCTTGAGCTGATGCATATGTATCAGCTAGTTATTGTTATTAGCCTTATTACATGACACATGACTGATTGAGTGTATTCACAAACAACTTAATCTAAGTGAGCCACAAAATATTATATGATCAGATAATTTTTGTCTGACCGTTTCTCAGCACAGAACTTCTAAATAATACAGCGATTGATACAGTACTAACTGTTGTCAATATCCCTTGTATCCTATTCTTATGTGCAATGTTTTTTGATATATTGCTACCATTCAAGCAAATGCATCTATGGATTTGTTTTTTCTCTTGTTGTGTTGATGAGGTATGACAACTTTGACCGATGCAAATATGCGCCTGGTCCTATGTTGTAAATAACTGACTGACTGAGTTTTCATGAAAGTTTTTTTTCTTGAACCTACCAGCCGACTACACCACATCTTAACTATGTTAGTACCTTAATGGATTGATAGAATGTTCAACAGCGCTCCCAGATAAGCTTTCCAGATCATCTTTTTTTAATTTTTAGGATAGCAAACCGAAGAGGTCAGTTGCTGATAACGTGTATTAACCGCCTTAATATGTGATAATTATCAAAATCGATAAGCGACTAGTTACCTACATTTCATTTCATACTCAATAAATACCTACAGACACACGTAATATGTTGTGAGTTACACTTCAAGTGTGGCTCAAAAGTTGAGATGTATAGATTACCCTTGAATTAGACACAAAATGATTAAAAATTGGTTCCCTAAGCCTCTGAATTATGACCTGTTCCACTCACAGAGGTATCATCATATGACACGTTAAAATGCTTTTGATATGAATCCAATACACAGTCCTAAAATGGTGAAGAATGAAACTACCACACCACTCACAAAAAAGGTTATTTATCTATGACTACCTTTGACACTTTTCCTGGATGCTATCAATGATAAATTAGTTTCTCTGGCTGTCGAAGAAAAGACAGGGTCGGAGCTTCCGATAGTTGAATCAGCGACGGAATCCGTAGTGGGCTGTTGTGAAACGTTATCACGTGGACTGTATTTGGGTTTTCGAAAACTTTTCACTACATCTGGACAGTTTGGAATTGATATATCACCAGAGACTGAATTTGCTCTTTCTGATGAAGTCATATTTTGCAGATTAGGATTCCGTACATTTGTGATAGGAACATGTTCGTGTCTTTGGTCAGTATCAGTGGAATTAATTTCTGATAGATTAATTAATGTTTGGTTCTTTGAATCAATAAGTAGATTCGAAAGCTGATTTTCGGGAGAAACAGAATCCAACTGATCATTTTCAAAAGGTGGGCTTTGAACTAAGGAAAAAACACCATCTTGTTGAAGTGACAAAGGACTAGGAGGTTTATCTTCAATAATTTCAGGTTCTGAATTATGACTACTATCGATTTCGCTGCTAGTGGATACACCGATAATCTCTGAATTACATGAATGTTCATGCCTTCTCTGTAAAGTCGAAGTGCAACACAAGAGTATGTTAAGTTAACAAGACATTAATATATCATGATATCTAGCAAAAAAAGAGGCACTGTGCAAGTAAACAGACCGAGTGAAAATGAACTGACTGACAAAGAGGGATGATTATAACACGGTCACTATTCATGTAAAAGTCGTGTAAAGTTATACAGTACTCATTGTACAGAAGTAATAACAGGACGCGAACCAGTTCAAAAATAGGGGCCACAAAACGTGAGACACGACATAACCTTGCTGTCAACGATTAAGTGGAAATCGCCCTGAATAAAAAGCGTAATGTGGACCAATACCTGATATCTATTGATAAATTTCGGGTTTTGTAGATGTAGATAACGTTTTATTGTCCTTTAAACCTATCGGCGCACTACTTTTAGATAATGATTGTTCATCGAAATTATATGTATTTGAAGCTAGAAAAGCGAAAATTATATTTTTAAAACTGGTAAAAGTTTGAACGCGTACTCATTTTGAAGACAGAATCGCAGATAGTGGGAGCTCTTGTGAGGATTGATAAATAAAAGATTACTAACGTGAGACATCACAATTCACTTTTTAAAAGAATGAATAAAATGACGGATATTGAGGTTTTTTGGTGCCGTAGGAACGTCAACCTGTTATCAACTATGAAATAAGTGTATCGATTACAGAACAAGCGCTACTTTAGTCAGTTCTTCATTTCCTGGGCGGAAGACATTTAAAACCATTGATTTTCATTATTATTATGCTGATGATGTTAACCAACATTCTATATTAACGTGATAAAATCAATTTCGATGTTAGGGTGTAGTATATGGTTATAAGGATGAGATCTTAACGAAAGGAATTTTCTTGAAACTCAGGATTACAAATAAGCAGCCATTATGCTGATTATGATCTTACCACTAATAATGAACGAGAGACCATACATGAAAATTATGTAGTATATCTATCTACTGCCTACATTTTCTACATGACTTGAAAAAAGGTCACCCTATTGTTCACTCAGTTGGTGTATTATTTAACTGGAACACCTAATATATATACTTCATCTATCACTGACTGTTCATTTGAATAGTAGTGCATCTCAAATGCACTTATATCAACTTTGATAGTCAACAAAATATATATGAAGTAAATTGAATATGCATTTCATCAGTGTCAAAATCTCGATCATTATGGAACTGATTATGGAGTGAATAAAGGGGAAATAAGACAGGTAACCCTCAGATGAGGAGTGATCGTTGAAAAACCATTTAAAGATATATTCGGAAGTCAAAACAGCCCATAAAAATCAACTTTTAGTTTCGGTAAACACTTTTAGACAGTTTTTTAAACAGTGTCAAATGTACAGCTCCAAGAATAAACATTGAAGCGGTAACCTGAATTTACGTGACTGAGAGTCAATATGCCGTCATCACTAGCCATTGATATATTAACGTAAGCACTTACAATATTAGGATGGCTTTGTTTACAACAGCTTTTCCGAGGGCTAAGTGAATGATGGCTTGACATCCCAGGGTCAATGTTGAATTACGGGAAGGAAAACTTCAGCTTGCATGCGGTAACAGCGATAACCCAGAACTAATTCTTTAAACCTTTATAGATTCTGACATCATATTCTCCGGAATAATGCACGATAACGGTGTAAGTAACACTAACGCATTACATACAGCACACAATAAGTACCGCAACATTGAAAAAAGGTGCTGAACAAGTACATAATATGTAGTTGCATAAAACACACATCAAATCAAACGGCTGTCTTTATAAAAGCTAACATTCGGTTATTCTTTTTCAAAATAGAGTTTTATACGACAGTTTTTAGTTTTTTATACAAGTATTTAAATTTTCTTTCAGGCTACTTGAACAATCAAGTGCATTGGTGAAAATTTCGAAGTTAGTTTGAAAATGTCCAAAAATCATGGATCTCGGCTCAGAATTCCGTTTTTTCTTGGTGAAATGTGAGGAACAAAATATCAAGAACCATTTAGGTGTAGTCACTTCACGTAACTCATCTCTTTTCAAATAAAATATATTAACCGTTCCTCAGACCAGACATGCTCATCATGAGTATTAAACATCGTATCGCCGACTGTCACGGAAGGACGGGTTAGTACAGAAAAAGATTTGATTATTATTTATAAGGTGATGACATCATGATAAATCTAAAATTTCGCGCTTGTTATTCTAGTAGCAAAGATAAATGCAATTAATGATTACTCAAATCATTATTTTACTAGTTTGTGGTCCTCGCTCATCCGATTGGTATCTTATCAAATAGCTTGTTCAGACTTTGGTAAGAACAAACTGCTATCACATTTACCTCTGTATAAAAAGTTTCAGGAAGAGTTCCCGTAGAAGTGAAAAGTGTAACTTATTATTTCGGTGCTTCTGCAACCTGAAATATTCTTCTGTAATAAAGATAGTAGGTTGGTGAACCTGTGGTAATCCTGACAGATTTCCTCCTAGCGAAGGTCCAGCTTCTTGAAAATGTTCTCTGATGGGGCTGATACCACATGTTCGGGTAAGGCATTCCATTCATCGACCACTCGGTGAAAAAAACAGGACCCACCTTTAGTTTATTAGATCGCGGTTTATGAACCTTCTTGCTATGACCCTGATAATTATCACTGCTGAAGTGAGTAAAAAGAATGGACATATTTGCACTTGAATCATAATTAGAGATACGAAATGCCAGTAAAGGTCACTTTGCGTCCTACAATTAGACAAGGGGAAAAGGTTTAGACGTTCCAAGCGCTCATCGTAAAGAAGTTTAGAAAGACCTTTCACCAATTTCGTCTCCGCGAGCTGGACACGTCGAATTGAGTTAGTATCCTTTATCGGACATGGGATAGCTGCTTGGATACAGTACTCTAAATGTGCTCTTACGTAGGTGGTATGTAAGATTCGTAGCATCTCCTCGTCCAGGCATTTCAGTGCTCGACGAAGTGACCATAACTCACGATAACCTTTGGAAGCAGCTGCGTTGCAGTGCGTAGTAGTTTTCAAGTAGTGAATTGTTATTACTCCCAAGTCTTTATGTTCTTGAACGTGTAGAACAGATGTATCATCATTGGTATAGTGGTAACTATTACCGTGGTCGATGTGCATGAGTACGCCCTTCCTGGAATTAACTTCCAAGCTCAAATCGTAAGCCCATCTAACTAATTCGTCTAAATCAGCTTGGAGATAGCAACGATCAACCTCACTGCTTGTTGCTTTCCAGATTTTGACATCATCCGCAAGCAATAATGTCGACGACTTAAGCAATAGAGGTAATTAATGGACGTAGAGGGACTAAGATGGTACCATGAGGTACACCACTTTTGATCAGCTTCCATTCAGATAGCGTTCCATTGACCCTCACTCTCTATCTGCGGTCACATAAGAAGTTTCCTATCCATTCCTGTATAGCACCTGTTATTCCAAAGCTCGAGAGCTGCTGCATAAGACCTAGTTGTGAGAACTTATCAAACGCTTTGCTAAAATCTATGAATATCACATCATCAGAGAGGCCGTTATCTAGGGCTTCTGTCAAATTCCTTCACGCAATAAGTAAGTTAGTTAATCATGAAGGCTTCTTACGAAACCCATGTTGCTTGGGAGTTAACAGGTTATACGAATCTATGTGACTTAGTAACTTAACCCGAATAATCTTTTCAAGTTACTTAACGACTATGCTGGTCATACTGACAGACCGATAGTTAGATACGACCCGTCTCTGACCATCCCTAAATATAGGACTGGCTAAAGCGTCTTTCCAGTTTCTAGGGAGTTGGGCGATTGAAAGAGACATGTTGAAGAGCGTCGCTAGTGGTCTTGAAATAATGTCCACAAGTGATGACCGCAAACATGGATGCAACCCATCGGGCCCGGTATCTTACAAGGTTTGAGGCCAGTTATTAATGAAAGAAGAGTTTCCTAAATCACGTGTATGGATCCTATGGCTGGTATCGCGGTGTAATTGGGAAAAGTAGTTGTAACAATACACGTAGAGTAGACTTCATTAAAATAGTTTGAAAAAGTCTCAGCTTTTGCTAGATCAGATTTTCGTTTAACAATAGCGCGGGGATACCATCACTACATTTTGATTGCCGTTTAAAATACAAAAACGATCGCTTCGAACAAGTACGGCTATCATATGCAAACTGTCGTTCGTAAGTGGTACGGGATTCAGCCATGGTGTTTTTACATACATTCCAGATTTTTTTATATTCGCACTTAAATGATGCCTGTCCTGTTGACAAGAGGTGTTTCCTACTGTTAGTGGGATATAGATTGGATTAAGCATGTTTTATGCATGATAGTGTTGCTGCGCGCTGATTGGTTAATTTTAAACCGATCAGCCCGGTCATATTATTGCAGAAAAATCTATAAGCTTCTTATGCATATACTAGAAATACATGAACATTATTTAATCTATTGATTGCTGTTCACTTATCATTGTTATTTTGAATACAATTTCATTCCTGTTCAACGTGTTCTGATTTTGGGTCTTGTCGAGTGTCGTCGTATAAGAATACTAAGCAATAGGAATAGCTGGGTCGTTTATATATTAAAAACCACAATTTATAATAGTGGCGACAGGGAAAAAGGAAAATTCATTCAAAATGTCTATATCAGATGACCAGCTCAGCCGAATACTACAGCAACAGCAAGCACAACTTGACGCACAATTGCGCCTGTTAGAAACTCTGACGCAACAGCTTAACATACACTACTTGGGTTCACATGCTGCTACAAGTACTTCTTCTTGTGATGCAGTTGCCAGCAGCATCCCAGAATTTTATTATGACCCCGAATGTAGCAATACATTTCTCACGTGGTTCAAGCGTTGGGAAGACACATTTAGAATAGAGTTATGTAATCAGGACGACCCATGGAAGACTCGACTGATGATGCGCAAGTTGGGAAGTCATGAACATGCACGCTATGCTGATCATATATTACCAAAGTTACCTCGAGAGCTCAGTTTCGAGGAGACGGTATCTCAGCTGTCAGAAATATTCGGTGAATCTTCCTCATTGTTTAGTATTCGCTACCAGTGTTTTAAATTTGGTGAAACGAGAAACCGATGAATATGGTGTTCTAGCAGACACCGTCAACAGAGAATGTGAAAAGTTCATGTTACGCTCGTTGACAAAAGATCAATTTAAATGCCCTATATTCATCAAAGCTCTGCAGTCACCACAAGATGCTGAGATTAGAACCAGACTTCTAACTCGTTTGGATCAAGATCCTAACATCACACTCAGAACGTTAACAGATGAGTGTAAGCGGCTACAGAACATCAAACACGATAATCAGTTGATTGAACAGGTAAATCCTAATTTAACCTGCAGTAGTGTCAATGCTATTACTAGGTTAAAAGTTCAGAAACCGAAAACAAGTGGTAGAAAACCAACGACTGCATGTTGGTTATGCGGCGATTGGCATTATGTACGATTCTGCACATTCAAAAAACATAAATGTCAGATGTGTAACAAACGTGGGCATAAAGAAGGTCATTGTCCTCCAAATCGTACGTCCCAGCCTAAGCAGAAGCACAATCGTCCTCGACACATAAATTCAGCCGAATCTAAATCACTTTCTCTGGTAGCAGCCTTTCAAACAGACTATGACATTCGTAGAAAGTATGTTACGATCCAGATTAATGGTATAGCGGTTCGTTTTCAAATTGACACAGCATCCGATATTACTCTAATATCCAGAAAAACGTACAACTTGCTGGGGAAACCGCCAATGAAGCCATCCAAGAAAACGGCTAAAAACGTATCTGAAGGTGTACTGAAGCTAGTTGGTGAATTACAATGTGAATTTTCCTTCAATGGAAATAGCTGTAAAGGAGTATGCTAACTAACAGAACAACCAAACCTTCATCTACTTGGTTTAGATATGTTAAAAAAGCTTGGATTAATGGATATACCCATCAACAGCGTGTGTAAAGTGTCGTGTCCATCATTAGACACCACTTCATATGCAAAAAAGACAGGTAAAAAAGTTCCAGAAATACGGAGTGTAGCAGCAGCGGCAATTCGAAACACTCCAGTGTCGTCAGGTGAAGTCAGAAAAGACTTTTCAGCATTTTGTCAGCAGAGCGGAATCAGGCACATCCGAACACCTCCATTCCATCCGCAATCGAATGGCCAGGTAGAACGTTTTGTTAGTACGTTCAAAAATTCTCTAAAAAAAAATCAAGATGGGAGGGGGACATCGAAGAGATCCTAGAGAGGTTCTTGTTTATACACCGTTCGACACCGAACCCTCAGACAACAAATGGAGTCTCCCCAGCGGAAGCGTTACTCGGCAGAAAAATACGTACACATTTTGACAGCATTCGTCCGACTCCAGTTCTTAAGACGCAAAGAAACGTGATAATGGAGAAACAGTACAATAATCATCATGGGGCACAAAAACGATCGATATCCAACAACGAAACGCAGCATAGATTACCTCTTGATGTTCTGCTAGACATCTTTGAGTTTAAAACACCTGAAACAGACAGGACAGTCAAGGTGCAAACGAAGGATGATACAACGTCCTTATTACCTAGAAGGTGGACTAAGTGGAAGCACAAACCAGTTGGACCCTAACACCAGATTCTACGAATCTCCTCAAGGGGGAGGCGTTAGTGGGATATAGATTGAATTAAGCATGTTTTATGCATGATAGTGTTGCTGCGCGCTGATTGGTTAATTTTAAACCGATCAGCCCGGTC